CCCCCCCTCGCCAGCAGTGGCCAGAGGCGGGGAGAGCCGTGTCTGGGAACGCAGAAACGGGCTGAGCCCAGCAGGGCAGCCCGGCCCCACTGTCATGGCTGGGGATGCCCAGGTGTGCTCCTGGGGGCCAAAGCACCTCGTGGGTGGCGAGGGCAGGAGAGGGGGGGTGTCCCTCTGCAGAGCAGGGAGCCCCAGACGCCACCCCACTGCTCCAGCTCCCCTCCGGCCCCGCCGCTCACCTCTTGCGCAGGATGATCCTGAACTCGGGGTTGTGCAGGCTGGTGACCGACACGTAGGGCAGCTCGAACTCCTGCAGCTTCCGCACGACTGCAGGGAAACAGCAGCTCAGCAGCGGCTGGAGGCAGTGGGAGCCCACCGGACCCCTGCCAGCCAGGGGGCCCCGGGGAGCCCGCTGGATCCCCCCACCCAGGGCAGGGCCATCTGGTCCAAGCACACAGCTCTGGCTCCGGGGCAGGACGCAGGGCAGACGCCCCACCGCAGCCCTCGCAGGGCTCCGGCGTGTTCTACTCACAGGAGAAAGCACCGTCCTTCGTCTCTCTCACTAGGAAGAGGCTGAAGTAGCCAACCAGGTCATCGGGCAGATCCAGCTTGGAGGCCACAGCCTGGGAGCGAGAGCAGGAGGTCACCACTTCCCGCAGAGAGGCAGCACCTCCACATCCTCACCCCGCGGCAGGACCCAGCCTGCGTGCGTTCTGGGGCCTCCCAACAGCGGGCAGGCAGCACCTCTGTTGTGCTGGGAGCCCGGGCAGGGAGGCCAAGGGGACAAGTGGGGCCTGGGGATCACTGCCACCATGAAACAGCTGGGGGCCTCCCGACACCAGCCTGGGCCCCAAGAGGGGCACGAGCACACCAGCACCCCCTTTCCAGCTCCCCTGCTCTTCAGCCCCCCAAGCCAACCCTGCTCTGGGGCAGGGACATGGCAGGGACAGGGGCTGCCAGGCCAGGGGAACTCCAGCGCATGTGGGAACCCACAGAACTCAGCAGGAGAAGCTGGTCCTGCCCAGCACAAGAACTTTGGCACCTCAAGGACATCTTCTGTCTGGTCCGAGGTAAGGATGGTGACCTTGACCTTCTGGCCGTTGGAGAGCAGCACCTCCAGCACCACCTCCTCTGTAGGTATCTGCTGCGTCTCCTGGAGAGACAAACAGGATCGGCACCCCCGCCCCTCCACCGCCGACCGCCACGCAGGCCGCGGGCCCCGGCACA